TTGTTTTTAATTAGGTTCTAGGTTTTTTTTTTATCATGTTATTGGTAGTGATTTATTGGAATTAGAATTGGTTATGTTTGTTTTTCTATAATTCCCATTTATTTTTGTTTTATTGGTTATAACAGATGGATGATTACATATTGGTTTGTTGTAAGTATTCTTCTGAGACTGTTGTGCTAAGAATTTCAATGCATTTCACAATTGATGATGTTTTACATGGTGTTTGTGACAATTGGAATGATTTGAGTGTCAATTGTGTTGCCCTATCATACGCTATTCCTGGATATCCGATTTGTGCTTTGCAAAATAATTATGATGTGAGAAACATGTTTCTAATTGCATGAACTGTTCAGTTGAATTTTGTTGAAGTTACAATTGTTGTTAAAGGAAATGTGGTTCGTGATTTTGAGGGTGGGGAAGTTATAGAAAGTTCTAAATTAACTGTTGACCATGTTGGTCGCGAGGATGATCTTCTCCCTCGTTTTTGTTCTCACAATGAGAAGGTTTTGTTGACTGATGGATGGTCCAATGGAATAGTAGAGGTGGGGCAGAAGTTTGAGGGAGGAGTAGCTGATTTTTGGAATGCGTTATGCAAATATGCAATCGAGGTTGGTTTTCAGTTTAATTATGTGAAGAATGAAAAAACAAGGGTGAAAGCTAAATGTGTAATGAAATATTCAGCTAGGTGTGAGTGGTTTGTTGTTGCTACACTCCAACGGATAAATAAATAGTTTTACATTAAGAAGTTAAACAATGAGCACACGTGCGGTGTGGCTGCACGCACGACAAAGAACAAAAGATTGACTTCTAATTTGGTTGGAGGTCTTATTGTTGACAATGTCAGATAAAAACCTGACACACAACTAGTTGATATGAAAAGTATGTTTCATACAGATTATAGTTTGACCATATCATATGATCAAACTTGGGTGGGTGTTGAAAAGGCAAGGGGTATGCTGTTTGGGGATCATTCGTTGTCATACCAACAATTACGGTGGTATGTACAGGCTGCAAATGAAAGCAATCCAGGCAGTCATTTGTGTTGGAAGGTGATTTGGACACGCAAGGTTTTAGTAGGTTGTTCATGTCATTTAAGACATGTATACATGGATTTAAGTATTGTCGACCCATATTGTTCATTGATGGTACATTTTTAAAGGAAAAGTATAAAGACATTATTTTGTCTGCAACTGCAAAAGATGACAACCAAGATATTTTTTTTTTTTTGGTTTATTTTTGTATTACTGATTTTATTTTAATGTTTTATTTTAATATTTGTATATATATTACTGTTTACTTATGTTACTATTTGTGTTGCTATATATATTGCAGGTTTGTTTCCCTTGGCTTTTGCTGTTGTTGATTCGAAGAATGAGTGTAATTGGTGTTGGTTTTTAGAACAATTAGCTGTGATTGTTGATAATACTAGGGACTTTACCATTATGTTTGATCACAATGTTGGCTTGATGGAAGCAATGTCAAAGGTGTTCCCAACGGTGCACCATTCATTCTGCCTACAACACCTAAAAGTAAATCTGAGAGATAAGTATAGTGGGGGTCGCTTTACCCATGTGTTTCGCGAGCGTATGATTTTTTTGTTTACATTGTGTGCTTATGCTCCGACAGAGGCATTTTTCAATGAAAAGCTTGATGATTTTTGACGTAAATGAGGAACCGTTGCTGATAAGTTTTTGGAAAACCTTCCATTTGAGAAATGGGCGAATGCTTTTTTCAAGGGAAAATGTTATGGGGAGATGTCTTCAAATGTTGTTGAGTTATTTAATGCTTGGATCACGAAGTCACATCACTTACTTGTCACAAGCATGGTTGACACAATAAGGGGACAGATCGTGAACCAAATGAGTTGCCGCTTGAATACATCGTCACAGTGGAACGACATTAATTGTCCAAATATTGAATCCAAACTTCAAGCTGCTTTCACTAAGTGTCGTTCCTGGTTTGTTAGGGTGTCATCAAGTCATGTTTTCGAGGTTAATTCACATCCTTCAGTGACGGTTGACATTGAGAGTTGCACGTGCTCATGCCACCAATGGCAGATCAACGGTTTACCATGTGCCCATGCTGTAGCTGCAATTCAAAAGAGTAGTAGGAACATCAATGAGTTTGTTGATTATTATTATCAAGTTACTACTTCCAAACTGTGTTATTCTGAGCCTATACACCCTATTCCAACATTCGGTCGTCTAGACTTTTTAACGGGTGACTTTGATATGTTGCCACCATTATCAAAAAAACAACCAGGTCATCCAAGGAAGCGTAGATTTAGGTCTAGAGATGAGCTTGTTAGAAAAATTCATTGTGGTCGTTTAGGTAGTCATAATAAGAAGACTTATAACGAGTCATTGTAATATTTCGTATGTATTATGGAATAAGATGGTACTTTTGTTTTTTACCTTATTTGTGTTTGTTATGTTACACTGGGAATATCACGGGTTAAACAGTGTGATAAGTTAATAGTGTAGTATTATCCTTGCACGGGCAATATATGTTTCATGTTATTGTTAATGTGGCCCCAATGTTACTATTTTAATTCTCATGTTATGTAGTAACTAATGTTACTTTTTGACAAGGATTTTGTGTGATTGCTTAATTTGGAGAAATTTAAATCATGTTACTACACATGTTAATTTGTTTTGGATAACCAAGCATGAAAGAGTTATCAATTATTTTTTAAAGAAATGGTACAAACAATACCCAGCCATGTGGATAACAACATTTACATTCCGTTAACAACTACATTTCAGCATTCTATAATCATATAGAATTTGTAATCTAGAACAATTTTTGTACATGTTACTGTTTGTGTTACTATTTGAATAACAACGTGGACAGAGTTTACTTTGGTCCACAAACATTCCATTACAATCAAATATCAACCACCCAACAATTACAACCAATTTTTAACCAAATATCAATCACCCAACAATTACATCCAATTTTCTAACCAATCCTGAAATTAACCTAAAAATGAATAGTTATCCCACACATTAATACTTCCTATTTGTCTTTGTATCTCTTTATCAATTTGGCTCTTGTCTTGTAATCTTCAACAATCCATGTATTCCTGTGGTTTATGAATGTAATGACCATATCGATCCGAAGAACGGTAATTTGTGGTGGTTTCAATTTATCTGCTATCGGCTGTCCACGAGCAAGTTGCTGCATTAAGTAACACACATACAATCTGTAGTTGACCCTACATTCAAGAATTTTTTTAAAATGATATTTTCATGTGATGTACTTTAAAGATATTCTATTTTATTAGTTATGTACGTGTCAGCTCGTTGTTAAGGACATTTCTCATATGAGTACATTGGACATTTGATATCTTGTGTGCTGACAATAATTTCATCATTTGTCTTCAATGACTTTCTCTGTCCTTCTTTGGATGTCATCTCCACGTCGTCTTTCTGCCATAGGAAAATGTTGTGTTAATGTTGTACATTGAAAATATATCAAAAAATGTGGGTTGTTCAGATTTTATTAACTTACCAATATTTTTGCATCCTTAAAAAAATTGTCCACAATTCCACTTCGCGGTTTCAAAGAGTTGTAGTGTGTTCATTTCCCTACTTCTGTATCCAATACAAGTAAGGTCCAGTGGAATGGCGTGGGTTGGGTGCGCTGCGCATCTGAATTCATGGGGAACACAAGGAGTGGCCAAACATGCCCCATATTCAGATAGTTGTCTATCTCAACCTTCCGTGAGTGTTCTTGCCCCCCAACCGTTATGAATGTCTACATGTTAATCAATAGTAACCCATAAATTTTAGAGACTGATCAATGCCAATATATAACATTAACATTCATGGCCCTGTATTAACACATACATAGCATTGTTACAATAGATCCATTCATAGTAACACGCATATTACTGTATTTGGTTTACTATAGTAACATGAATGTTACTATACCCATGTTACTATTCAACTACTCCAGCAATCAAGAATCCAACGTATGTTACACAAATATCAACCAACATAGACTGTTGGTCTCCATGTTACTATATTTAACACAAACACAACAGTGTTATAATATATTCATTCATAGTAACATGAATGTTACTATAGACATGTTACTCCAGCAATCAAGAATTCAACATAGATTGCACAAACTCACCCAGCACAAACTGTTGAAAAAATAACATTTTCAATTTACTTCCTCCATCAGTATTTCTCCCCAACAATCAATCACCTAAGTAATAACACGACTTTGTTAAATAACAAATATTCAAGTATTCCATAATTTGTTTAAATTTTGAAGACGCATGGTACATTACATTGTTGTGCAGCTCTTCCTCATCCATGAATTTCAATACATCATTAACTTCAATGATATTTTCATACTTTTTTCCACTCCACAAAGTTGCCCTTTTAATCAAAAACAGTGCATGTTAATAAAATAGAGTATAAACAGTAAAATATATGAAATATGTTTCAAAATGGGGCATTAAGTTACTTACCTTTTTCCCTTAGCCATATGCATTTGAACCAATTTGTTGTACACATCCGTTCCTAACTTCTTGCAGGCTTTCCATCCTCGAGCTTCAACTCGCTTACTTTCTAGCTTCTCATTTGGCATTGTAATATCCAAATCATCAACATCAATGTAGCTATCTTGTATCTTCTCCTTCCCTTTAATTTTGTCACTTTGATCCTGGATTTTAACTTGTTCCAATTTTTTCTTTTCTCCATGTTTTTTCCTACTATACTCAAAATCTTCATCTCTCTTTCTTTTTCTTTCTTTCCGTTTGATTTTTCTCACCATTGATGTTTGTTCTACACCTTCGATGGTCTGAGGTTTTGGTGGAGTCTGGGGATACTTTTGAGTAACAGCATGCACAACCATATCAGCGACAACATCATGCAGGAAATTGTTTTCTTCTTCTAATTCAGACACCCTTGATGTTAGTGTCTTAATTTGATCTTCTTGTGTTTCTTTGTTTTTCTCCAAGAGATCAACTAAAACCTTCAACTGTGAAATTTGGTTGTCCCTGTCAACAAGTTTCATGGCATATTCTTCAATCTCTTTCAAATCTTCCTCCCTTTGGTTGCCCCAATATTCTTGAAATCGTTCGAAGTGCTTCGTTCTCCATAGCCAGCATTTGGATAGTAAATTTTTGCACTTCATTCTCAACATTCAAATCAGACGTACCTTCATTCTCAAGGGAAGGTCGTTGTGACTTTTTCTCATGTGTTACCATGTCATCTGGTTCCATAAATGTAGATTCTCGAATGACCACATCAACAAATGCATCAAACGGTTGTACGTTTTGAGTCACTTTTTGGACAGGATCATCATTTGTAGAAACATGTACTGCACCATCACTTTCATAGATAGATTCATTACTCACAATATAATCATCACCAGCTAAATTAGGTTCATCACCTCCATATTCCAAATCTAAATTTAAAGCACTCTTGCTAGCAACAGTGCTTTGTTGTAGAAGCTCAACACTATGCTGCACGTTTTTAAAATTTTTCCGAATTTCTCTCATTATACTTTTCTCAACAAGTGTTTTCTTAAGTCTCCTTCTGACAACCTGACAACAACATTACAACATTAAAAAATGTGTCCAATAATTGTTCACCTTTAAATTGAATCAAATGACTGTAATGTACACAGTAACAACCATAGTAACATCTATTTTTACTACATTAACATTTACAGTAACATCCAGTTTCCAATTAATATCATCCATAGTAACATGAATTTTATATAGTAACATCATCAAGTAATTTTAAAAAAAAATCAGAAAAACAATAAAACAAATTTTAAAATAACATTTGATTAGCTGTTACGTCGGACAGTGTGTTTTCTGTGAGAACTGTCCAAAGTTTTCTTAAATCCCATTTCATCCATCGTGGGAATGCATCCGCGTTGTTGGCCACAATAAGAGAAGTGTGTTCACATATCCAGTACTGTAAATTAGATATTTTTACATTAGATAGAACATATAATGTTTAAAAAAAAACATCAAAAAAATTAGCATTCAAACACTTACTAGTAACAGTAGTACACAACCGATTATTACACTTGGTGTATCAATCTTCAACCGTATAGAATTAATCATTGCATCAATTGTTACTTGACACCAGTCATATCTTTTTATTTCATCCAAATTCTCAATGAGACATACCCTCATCCAATTGTTTGCCCCATATTTATAATCAGTAATGTCACTAAGACATATAAAGAGAATAATCTAGCAAAATCTTCATAATCTTCCTTACCATCACCCATTATAGTATCCACCAACCTGTTTTTTATAATTGGTGCATTCAATCTTTTGGTGCTATTGAATCTCCTCCTTACAAATGGTGACATTTTTTTTGCACTTTGTGGAGAAACAATTGGATCCATACCATCTTCTATACTAAAAATGAGGGACACATCAGACTTCCGTATCTTTAAATTTTTTCCACCAATTCTAAATCTTGATGTTTCAACATCAAACGTGGTAATGATGTCAACAATACTTTTGTCATTCTTCTTGAACCATTTCTTATCCAATTCAGATGTTGATATTGTCTGATATAAATACCAAAATGGTGTTCTCCTCAACTGTTCTTTGTAAACATCTTTGATGTTTTTTCACTAATAACCTTCACCATTGGCAGCAAGTTAGATCTGAATTGGTGAAATGAAGATATTTTTGGGGCCATCTACATGTAACATGACAGTGAATTAACAATATTTGAATATAATACAATAACATGACACAAATTCACTTATCTTAATGCATATAAAACAATTAACAAAAAATATGTGCAAAAGTAACATGAACAGTAACACCAAAATTGTTGATGTACACACAGTAACAAGTTATTAGTAAAATGGTCATAGTAACATTATTTTCTTAACTGCATACCAACGAGAAAAAAAAATAGTAGAATTGAAGATTGCAAGCACACAAGTAACACTAGCTAATGCAAAGTTTGAGAGATATATGATGTAACATATACCTTTAATTCTCAAATATAAATCAAAGAATTGTGATTACTAACACATTCACAATAACATACAACAACACATGAACTCTTTGTAAGCAATACATGGTGCAGTGAATGTAAAAACCAAAAAGGTTATGATCAGTAATATATATTCTGTAACATCAATTTTCCAATAACATCCAAAGTACCCAAGCACATACTTATATTGGATATATGAAATCAAATTTTCAATTATCACACCGCAAATGAACAATTTTATGTAACTTTGAACCAATGGGTTTCGAATGTCTTGATCAAAGCCGCAAGCAACAAAATTTTTTTGCAAGTAACGGTAACATGATCAGTAACCCCCCCCAAAAAAAACATGTAGTTCTTACAGTAACATCGAAATTCATAGTTTTATAGCAATAAAATCAATTCAAAAATTTAAAATTAAAAAAAAAAAAAAACTAATAGCAACAAACTGTCAATGGTTGAATTAGGACACTCAACACAAAACAAGAACATCAAAATACCAACATTATTACAAACATTTTTTAAAGTACTCTCACAGTAACATGAGATTTTCCACATTAAATAGCAACAATAATTTTCGTATGTTCCACAATTCCAAAAAATAAAAACTAATCAAAAATACATATCAAGGAATCACAATTTAATAATAACAAGGAATCAAAATTTTATTGTGAGGAAAAAAATTTAAAAAATTTGTTTGAACAAACCCTAAAATATACATCAAATAACATATAAAATCACATACCTTTTAGATTTTTAAGCATCCCAATGTTGGTGAAGATGTTTTGAATGCCCAAAAAACTCTCTTATGTAACTTCCCCAATGGAACTTGAAGAAAGGAACACAAATTGATTCGGATCAGTTTGTGTAACTTCCCAACAGGTTTCTCTTTGAAGTTTGAATGGAGTCGGTTTCGGTAATCAGAGTTTTTGATATTGGAAGAAAGGAACACAAAGAGATTTTGAGGATCTTTTGGCTGAAATGTAGGACATAATGGAGATGGAAAGTTTCGGTTTTTTGGGTGCCGACAATTGAGGGTTTCACCGTCACGTTTAGAAACGGCTTTTGAGACGCCATTTGATATTTTGGAAAAAAATAAGGGTAGAAAAGTAAACTTGACAAAAAATGGACTTATAATCAAATTAGTTTTTTTGCAGAATTTATCTCCAAACAAGTCTATTTAGGGGGACCAACCTCCAAATTTTCCTATTTCCTAATTTGATTGTGTTCTAAACTACATACCACCAGCCTTGGGGCTCCTTAACCCTCTCCATTTTCCAAATGCTAAATAACCAATGCATGAACGTGTAGACACCGCTTAAGCTTAAATGAAATTTGTTAGGTTTTTCAATTTGTCGACGTCTTTTCTTCTTTCTTAACTTTAAAGGTTCTGAATTTTTGGGAGCAATCAATGCCATAAACATACACATAAGATTACATGATTCGTGTCACTTCAATAATAACATCAAATCAAATAAAAAAAAATGACAAAAAAACCCTTCCAACAACAATCTAAATACAACACAAAGAACTACAATGCAACATTTAATAATCAAGCACCGATACAAGTCCCAGTGATTACTTGATTCTTTCATCTTCTCATCATCTTCAAGAGCTGGCAGAATTTTCCCAAAATTCTGTTTTCAAGACATTGGAGAGTTAGAAGAGTGTTGTTGTAAGAGTTTTGATTGCTATGTGGTTGATATATTTGACTATGCCCTTCCCCATTACGCTCCAATGAAATGTAAAGTATATTTTGTCTTCGGCCATTGACAATGTCTCTACATTTGGCAGTGTAATATGAGTTCTTAAAATACAAAATAAGTATACACGGTCTTGTAATATAATAGAAACCATTATTTTGTCTAAGATATTTATACAAGAGCACTAACTTGAACACCATTCCCATATTTTGATTGATATTCAAACCTCCTACATATATACGTTACCTCTACAAAAGCATATTTGTAACACGTTTTTACATTGAATAACATGTAATTAAAACCACTTTTCAGACAAACAAAAATAACTACAAAAAGGATTAAAATGTGTAATACATATAAAAAATGATCATATTTTGATCAAAGGCTTACATGGCCAAGTCTGAAGCACAACAAAAAAGAAATGGGTATTGATATGACACCCACAACACATGTGGCGATTGCAAGGGCTGAGGATTGTGCCAACACCACATAAATCGCTGTACTGAATGCAGTAACAATACGTGTAGTGACAATGGCAAATTTCTCGATAGTTTCTACGGTATCCATCCATGACCCCCAAAAGTTGAGAAATATAGCTACACAAGAGAGTAGAAGAGCCATAGTATCTGATACCATAAATGCTGGAAAAGCTGGTTTTCCTGATAGAACTGCCATTCCTAGGACTGGGCTTGTGGTGCCACTTTGGTTGTAGCCACCAGGCACGGTGAATCCAGCCGCGAGTGTTACTGCGGCTATAAGTGCAGCCACTATCATATTGATGTCGAATGCTTTCCTGATCTCTGCTAGTCTTTCCTTCTCTTCAGCTACCCAATCTTCCTTTTCGGTTGTTCTCTTTCTCTTGTCTTGTCGGTTGCTCATTACTTTCTGAAGGCCTGATTTACTCCTAGCATTTTTGAGTGCCCACTGATAAAATTACATATTACAGAAGAAAAAAAAACTTGTCAATTATATATTTTTATGTATTTGGGGATACAAAGAACCAGATTTTTTTATTAATTTTCCTCCATAAAGATGTAAGTTTCCTATAAATTAAATAATATTCATTATTTCTTAACTTAAAAAATAAGTCGTAGCCAATAGTCTGAAACTTGAATCAGCTGACCACAAAGAGGCAAGTATCCTTATAGTCTAATTAAGTAGGTCAAGATAGATTAGAGTTGATGATACCAAAAGAAAACATCAGTTTAGATGATGTACTAGTCAAGTCGATAATTCAAATAGTGGACAGGTCAGGCAGATCATATTGTAGCGAGCTGACCTGAAATAGTCCAGATTAATAATGGGACTCTAAAGGCTGACCATCAACAAGGAAATTACCAGAAGGTGTAAAAGAGGACTTTCACCAATAAACCCTATCTTGGCAGGAGATAGGGTACACCTCCAAAAGGGCACATTATCGCTTCTAGAAGATCACGTTATATATTAAGAAAAAAATCTCTAACGATCAATTATTCTTTGACATTTTTAATATAAATAGTAATGATTACCTATGTATAAAAGGTAAGCATATACACTGCCCTAAAAGAAGAACCATTTGCATTTATCTCTTACCCCAAGCAATACACAACAAAAAGAGCAAGAGCTTCTATTATAGTGGACTAACCTTCATCTTCAGCAACCAAACCACTTAAACTGGTGCATTCTTTATCATTTTGCTCTCATATTCACCATACTTGATTAACACCCCCATTCACCTCAATCTTCTCAGTCTATAATACCATAAGTTTGGCACCGTATGTGGCAAAGGTCTTCATCATTCCAAACTTAACTCTCCATTGTTGATTGATGGTACAAACGAGAAGCATGAACTAAAATCCATACAATTAGCCTAGGTTCCATATCCCGCATAACACACGGGATCCTCAACCTTATTCTGGGGAATAGGGAACATTCTAGTGAGCTATGATGAAGTTGCTCCAGCAAAACCAGCAGATCATTCAACTTTTAATTGGCCAACAAAATCCTCCCAATGGTGTTATTGGGGAGAAGGATAGGAGTTGAACTAACGAGAACCTCGTCAAGGCTAGTGTTCCCATCTCAATGGAAGCCTTGATCTAGCAGACTGAATCCCCGTTCACCCAGGAAATCCAAAACTTCCCTCTTCCTACCAAATTCAAAATACCTACCATGGATGCCTTCAATGACACCAAGGACTTGTTTGATCATCTGAACACGTATAAGAATTTGATGGACGTTCATGATTACCAAGATCTTGTTGGGTGCCAAGCCTTTGCAATAACTCTTAAAGGATCAGCGCTGACCTGGTACCACAATCTGCCACCAGACATGATTAGCATATTCAAAGAGTTGTCCATGTAGTTTGTCTCGTATTTCATAAGAGTGAAAAATCCATCTAAAGCCGACCTCATGCCTCCTCGGAGTTAAGCAGAAGCCCAATGAGGCACTAAGGAAGTATGTTCAATGTTTCAACTCAAAACTCTGAAGATAGACAACCTTGATGAGAATGTAGCTTTGGAAGCATTTATCGTCGGACTTCATCCTTCAGAGTCCCTGTTTTTAGTATCCAAACATCCTCAAACTAGTATGAACAATGTGTTGGGCAAACTTGAGAAGTCCATGAATATTTAGGAAGTATTCCGGGCATGACGCAGCTCTTCAGTTGCAACTAACCATCAAGGGGGTAAGAAAATGGAGGAAACTAGCCCCAGGACGAATAAAAACCCCTCACCTAAAAAAAGGGGGAGATGTTCAAGACAGAGTTGGACCACCCAAGTAGAACTTTCCCCTGAGGTTTGCTCCTAAGCGTTACACCCACTTGAACACATCGGTGGCATAGGTTCTGCATCACGTCCAACACAAAAAGCTCCTTAAATGGCCTTCGAAGAGACCCCAAGAAAGAGACATTTGAACAAATATTGAAATTTCCACTGTGGCCACGGTCATGACATCGATGCGTGTATCCAACTAAAGAGAGAAATTTAATTGCTTATCCAAATGAGCCTCCTTAGGAAATTCATGGCCCATGATGAAAACTGTCGGGTTGAAGGTCACCAAGAACCACCCTAAGCTAGGCAGCAACACCAGCAGCCTATAGGGGAAATTAGGGTCATCCCATGAGGGTTTACTGGTGGAGGAGAATGCAACTCGACCCACGAACAGAGGACCGCTAAAAAATCTATGCTATCTTGAAAACCCCCTTAGCTAAACGCCAAAATCACCTTTTTTGATGCCAATATGGAAGCATGTAAGTATCCTCACGATGATCCCCTAGTTGTTAATGTAATCATTGCTAACAAGAATGTTCACCGGATCCTGATCAACAATGGTAGCCCATAGGAAATGATCTTCGCAATTGCATTTGGTCAGCTCGGCATAGGTCGCGGACAACTCAAGCCAATTAGATCCCCACTTGTCAGTTTTTAGATGAAAAAGTATACCTCTTTCGGATCTACTCAGTTTGTGCTAACCATTAGTGGCCTACCTTGCCAAGCCACCACAATTAAGTTTCTTGTCACTGAAGCTCCCTTTGCGTATAATGTGATACTGAGATGACCTTCTCTCAATGCTCTCAATGTCATCCCCTCAGCCTTCACCTAGAGGAGTCTTTTCAGATACTCAGAAAAATACATCATGAAGCTTAACCCGAACAAATGTGAATTTGGAGTATCAAGAAGGAAGTTCATAGTGGATCAGAGAGGGTTTAAAGACAATCAGGAGAAGGTTCGTGCTTTCTTGGAAATAAGATTGTCAACCAGCAAAAAAGAAGTTCAACGTTTCACAAGGAGGATTGTAGGTCTCAACTGAATCCTTTCTCGAGCAAGTGACAAGTGCTAATCCTTCTTCAAGGTGCTAAAGGAGACCTTACAATGTGATGACTAGTGTGAAGAGGTCTTCCAATCCTAAAGAACCTACTTGAGCACTGCACCAGTTCTGGTCAATCCAAAACTAAGAGAAATCCTTATCCATACTTGGCGGTATCAAACTTCTCAATCATTGCTACCTGGTCAGAGACGAGGAGTGATTTCAAAGGCCAGTATACTTTTGTTGCAAAGCCCTCAGAGGAGTATAGGAAAGGTACCCCATAATGGAGACGTTGGTTTTAGCACTAGGCACAGCAGCTAGATGGCTTAGGCCCTACCAAAGCAAGTGACCACTAACAGCAGAGACGGATTTGTTCAAGACGTAGCTATTTGGAAATTTTATGTGGATAGAACTTCAAATGCTCAAGGAAGTAAGGCAGTCCTGATCTTGACCTCACCGGAAAGAGTAGATCTCAAATACGCCTTGAGGTTTGATTTCAACACTTCTAACAACGAGGCAGAGAATAAGACACTTATAACGGGGCTCAGGTTAGCCTTATAAATGAAAGCACAGTAGATATTGATCCACAATGATTCACATCTAGTCGTAAGGTATGTCAGAGCTGAATACAACACCCGAGAAGATAGAATGGCAATTTACCTCAGCGTTGTGAACCAGCTGTTAAATAAGTCATCCATTTTAAAATCTTATAAGTACCAAGAGTAAAGAATGCCCATGTAGACTCACTGGCCATAGCGACGCAAGAGAACCTGAACAAGACAATCTGAGTGAAGTATTTGTTAGAGCCAATTGTCTCATAAAACTCGAAGGAAGAGGTCAAGCTTGTAAAGGACGATCCAAGTTTGATGGATCTAACTTACAAGTACTTGCACGAGGGGGCCCTCTCGCACGATTCAAAGGAGGTTGCAAAGCTCAAAAGTAGGTCAACCTGATACCTTATCTTGCAAGGGGAAGCTATACAAGAGAGGATACTCTTGATTCCTCTTTCGATGCATCAATCATGCAGAGGAAGATCATGTTCTTAGAGAAATCTATGAAAGAATTTGTGAAACCCACGTCGGAGCTAGGACGCTGGCATACAAAGCTCTATGGCAAGGATATTATTACCCACCATTATGCAAGATTCGTTTGGCCTGGTCAGGAAGTGTAAGACCTGCCAATTCCATTTTGGCAGGAATAGAACCACTACCCCCTCAAGAAACCTATACTTCTCCTTTATGGATTTAGAATGGAAAGTAATGATGCTACTACACTGACCAACTGCAGGTTGTTCATATCCCAAGGAACCTTTTCCTTTTTACAGAAGGACCTGAACTGGATGAAGATGAGGGAGAACAATCCTCGACTACTCGAGGATAAAGATACAAATCATAGATGGGGAGGCCCTCATTACAACAGACTGATCCACCAAATTTGGAAGAGAACTTAAGGACCTATTAGGAAATGGAGGCTTTGAGACCACTACCACTCTGATAATTGTGGACACAAGCAAGAAGGACGATAATGGACTGGGATGCACCTTCTTGGTCTCTTTCTCAAAGTTTGCTCTGGTTCTCTCTCTCTCTCTCATTTAATGCACCTCACACATGGACGTGTGTCATTATGCAATAAGGCACATCCCAAAACCAAGGCACCAAATAATCACGTCTTTTTGAGAAATGATCAATCATGTCTTTTCAGTTACACGTAACTTTAAGAGCACAATTACACAAGTATGACCTAGAAGTGTAGCCCCAATCAAAGGCCTACTCAAATCAAGCTCTGCTTGGGATTGGAGGAAACTGGTGATACCAAAAGAAAACGTTAGGTCAGATGATGAATATGTCCAATCAGTAGTTCAAATAGTGAACAGGTCAGGTAAATCATCATGTACCTAGCTGACCTTGAAGAGTCTAGTAATGGGACTCTAAAGACTGGCCATCAACAAGGAAATTGCCAAGATGTAAAGAGGATTTTCACCTGCCAATTCTACTTTGGCTGGAGATCATCATCTCTAAAACGCCACGTCACTTGAAAAAAAAAAAAATTTTAACAATTAAATATTTTTTGACATTTCTATAATAAACAATAATGAGTATCAATTTATAAAAATACATATATACGTTTTTACAAAAGGAGAACCATCTGCATTCATCTCTCATATCCCAAGAAATAAATAGCAAATTGAGAAATAGCCTCCGGTAGACTAACCTTACTCTTCAACAGGAGGAACTATTTGAACTTTTGCATTGTTTATAGTTTTACTTTTGTATTCACCACACTTGCTTAACACCCCATTCACCTCAAACTTCTCAGTATATGATACCATCAGGAGTCGTGGAACATTCTTGTCCATTAAAATTAGGGGAGAGGGCTAGAACCACCATGTAGTGGGAGGATATCTATGTAGCAGTAGCAAAAGATAGACCGTAATCCCTTGATCATTAGAGATTAAACCATCTTTTTTGGGATAAATTATATTGGCGGCCTTGAAGTATGCACCTATTCTTACTTTGATCCCTAAACTTTCAGTTTTGTGATTTTAGTCCTTAAAACTTTGAAAAAAAATTATTTGGACGAAATTGAGCTATAAAACATTTAAAAGTAGATTAAAAACTTTAAAGGCAGACTGAACGCAACTTGGAAGACCAGCAACAGTGTAAATTTACCGTTGTTCTTTTTATTATATGAATGGCATATCATCATAACTCCTTAAACATAAGACAAAAGTCAATCATCCTTACCCATAAATCACCATGTTCTTCAGCTACCATGTCTAGGGGAGTAAAATGTTGCTTGTTTAAGGCAGCCTTATCCGTCATAGCATGTTTTATGAGTTCACGGACTTTGAGATTAGAAGTAGCCATCAAATGGAGAGGTGTGTTGCCATCTTCGTCTTTCTGTGTCATAAGAGAGCTGATTCCTCTGCAGTTTTTGAGGATACATTCTACCATGAAATCATCCTTATACGCCAGTGCGATGTGAAGAATATTTTGTCTTCTACCATTTACCATCTCACTACAATCTGGGCAGCTTAATATAAGTTTTCTAGCTAGATGATAATCACCTCTGCTAACTCCTATGTGAAGAGCAATATTCTTGTCATTGTCTACAAGATATGCAACAGAATTATCCGCATCTAATAGTTGGGATGCCATAAAAGGATAATCTCCAAATAGTGCATCATAATGGAGTGGACTATATCCATTTTCATCTGTTTCCATCGCTAGAGATTTGTTCAAATCCACTGATTTTCTAGTACACCCTGAGAGAAGGGGATGAGAGCACAAAGATAAAATAATTTATACGTATATAATAAAATTGAAGCTCCTGAAAAGCATAACAACAGACTGATTGCTTACATCCATCAATTTATCTTATAATTTATATTTTTAATATTTTTTAATTACAGTAAATCTACCTATGTATATTCTAACATTTAATACATTAATTATACTTACTTATATTTTAACCACTTACTTACATTTACCTAAAAAGAAGAGCACACACTTGTTGTGCGCTGCACGGGTAGCCCCAGTAATACACATGTTAGCAAAATGTCATAGAGAAAAGGAAATCAAACTAATATTGGATCGAAATAGTTTTCTTCTTACAAAAATAATTTTATAGCTTGAAGTACAACTTAGTTGTGCACAGGATAGCGAAGTATTGCAGATAAAGTTTTATTGAGTTGAGTTAGTACTACTGGATTTTTTCTTCTGTTATTTTTTTGGTTCTACATACTAAAATCTATTCATAATTCAGTACATTAATTGAAGTTTTCAAACCAAGTTGGGATAGATCGGATGGAAAGCCATCAAGAGTTACTATCACAATGTCCCAAATTCAACTCCACGAAAGATCTCTAGTTCACCAGATGTGCATGTTTTGTGACTAATTACATACACCCAGAGTTTGGTTCTAGTCATGAGTCCAACGAATATAGCTCAACTAACTACTCCATTATTTAGAAAATTAGGATTTTGATTATTTTTATTGTTGTACCCTTAGTAGGTTTCCTAGATTTGTTCCTATTTTTATGAATCCTTCTTTTGCAACACACATATGTTAAGGGCTAGTAAGGTTTTACGCGTTGTATCAAAAAAAACCACATGTTTCATCGCTTGTGCAGCCCCCGTTAATTTCCTTGAGTTTCGATCTTGCGACCATTCTCCCCAAGCGGAGTGTTTCACGCATTAGCTATAGACCAAAGGCGAACATTCATTTACAACATGGACTACCAGGGTATCTAATCTTGTTCACTCTCCATGCTTTCGCAACCCAGCATCAATAAGGGACCCAAAGAGCTACCTTCACTTTTGGTGTTCCTTCGTAGATTTCCGAATTTCACCCCTACACACGAAATTTCACTCTCTTTTGTCTCACTTAAGTGAATTGGTTTCGAGAGCATTCCGCCAGTTTTTGGCGACTTTTACTGTCAACTGTTTTTTTTTTCGTAAATAATACTGACACATTTTATAAACCATTCATGGTCGATTGCCCTTCTCCATGCCCTTTAGAGACAGCATTCTTTTGGATGTTCAATTCCTGTATTTTTCGCATCCTAGGAGCAAAATAATAGTCATGTTGGTTTTTGATCAAAATTCGGCCCAAATTCAAATCCGATTAGTCGGATATGATTTGTATACATTTTTGCCAATAATTCGTATTTAAATCCATTATATCATATTATATGAATTCAAATATGGATATACTAATATCCAACCCTATTAAGATTTGATCTGAAATTTTTTTATATAGGCAACTAATTACATGATGAAATTGAAGGATTATTTAATAAAATTTAGCCAAAATTGACATGAAATCTAAAAAAAATCAGCATAAATAATAATTTGGATCGAATAAGTTTTGTATTTATTATGGATTTGGTGAAATACTATCTATGAAAACAAAAACCATTGATATACGAATTAATTTCATATTGGAATTTTTATATTGAGTTTGGGCACCAACGAACATTTGGTCCAATGATACTTCTCACCTTATAAAAGTTGTGTCATCTTGAAGTCAAGGGTTCAAGTCCGAACTCAATATTTTTGATAGACCTAACGATGTAAATTGATATACCTTGACTTATAAAAATTACTGCGCCGTGTAAAGCTGTACTTCCATCCGGGCCACCGTCAGGTGGTGGTGATTTGCATAGTTTCAAAATCACTGCAACCAAGTCGTGATATCCTCTCCAGGAAGCAATATAAAGTGGAGTCTCCCCACCTATGTTGGTGGTATATGAAAACTCAAGAGTCTTCTTGTAGAATATACTTGACCACATCAAGGTGATGATACTGCACAGCGTCATGCAAGGCTGTGTCTCCCTCTTCATTTCTCATCCTCAGCATCTCCTTCACTCTTCCAACTCCTCTAATTTGAAGCTCTATGCTGCGCATCCGAGGAGTGCCATGACAACGTCACAGTGTGTTGGGATTTCTCACGATTTGAATTCACTAACAAACACACACAATCGAAGAACAAATCAAGAATATAAAGCAATAAGAAACAAGAAAGAACAAGACACAGATTTTACGTGGTTCAGCAATTTGCCTACGTCCACGAAGCTGCAGGGATTTCACTATTGAGAGAGTTGAATACAGAGAGCGGCTGTACCATACACGATTAACCCTAATCACCAAAACAACAGGGTTTATATGTCCTACGCACTGGGCTGTATAACGGGCCCAAAAAAATCGGCCCAAGCCTTCGCTCCATGGACTAAGCCTCAGAAAATTTTCCATTAAAAACCACACAACATTATTTCGGGTCGAGTCATCATCCGGATCACATATACAAACTAGACTCCATAAAAATAAACCAACATAATGTCCATTCCTTGCTGCAATGTGAAGCGCAGACTCACCACTCGAATTCACCTGATGCAACAATGATGGATGCCATGATAAGATCACCTTCACACATTCTATCTTACCGAATTGGGATGCAAGGTGGAGAACCGTATTTTTGTTTGGAGTCACTTCATCCGCAATTTGGTTGATGTTTTGGACAAGAACATCAACGTTGCCGGCTTCAACAACAATGTAGAGTTTAGGATTCATGTGGATACTAAGCAACTACTATTGTGGACCAAAAACTTTATTTTGTTAATAGATAGGCCTGCCTCTTCCTCTCCACTATGCCTAGGGGCGGCCCTGGTTGAAACTACTAAGAAACACCCAAAGGTCCCACAAGCTATTGACACATTCAAACACACGTCGGAGACACAAAAAGGAATGGCCGACCTTTTTTTTTATATATGTTGTTGAGTTTTCAACACATCCCGGAGAGAATGAATACTTTTTTTTAATACAGACACCTTATGTATTACTCTTCTTTCAAACAAACACCACAGACCAGTAGAAGTTATTTGGACGCTAGTCTATCACTTGCCTTGGGTCATGTGAGAAGATGTATTCTTTACCTTGGGTTTGGAACAATTGGTTTCCACTTTACCTACTCATGGGTTGAATTATAAGACAAATCATAGCAGGAAATAAACGATTAGTGAATATTGGTATTGTGACTGCCTAGTTTAATACTAAATTAATGTGTTGACAAGTGTACTTAATACGATTTAATATCTACTTAGTCTTATTAGAAAATTATTGTACCATGTAAATAAGTGCACTTCACTTAGTGGATAGGAACTCCACGTAACAGTGATAAGGTGGTGTAACCATCAAGGACGGAGCCACCTTTGGAAAACACCCTTTGCCTTCTGCTTGTTTAACAATAAATGTAAGATCTGGGCCTACTGTACAAGTAAATATTGACTGCAACGGTGATACCATGTCACCATTGATGATATGGTATCACCAATTAACAATAAAATTTCAAATGAGAAATGTGAACCCCACTTAGACTTACATGACAGAAGAATATAGAGTTATTTGCTTACATTACATGTTAGTTATTGATTTTTATGGGGTTCATCTGTTTATTTGTTTTATTTTTATTGATTAGTGATCTTACATCACCTTGCTACGTGGTATCAGAGCTTCCAACGTCACATTATAATGGTTCCTCCTTCAACATCCAAGTGAATAAGGGGCAAACTTAACACATTGTTACCATTCAATTAGCAAAGAGACTAAATATAGGGAGAGAGAACCATGAGAGTCAAAATAAATTATACATATCAAGGAGTTGAACAAACTAAATATTATTTAAATTCACTTGATTGAGAGTAAAAAAATCTATTTTGATGGTGTGTACTGCACAATTGAACAGAGTGGTGATCTTTTGGGGTTTGGGAATCACTAGATGGTCCAGTCAAAACTCCTAGGCTTTTAGAGATTGAACACCGTGGAAGTAAAGGGTCGGAGACAAAAGGCTTATAGTGATTCTCTAGCTCAAGAACCCAGTTAATCCACTTTAAAAGAGTCTCTTGTTCTTTAAAGAGTTTTCAATTGATCAAGGGGAAGATTACATAAAGTATTTACACAAATTATTGCTTGAGTTCCATTGTGAGGGATATGCCCCTTATTTATAGCCTTCAAAGGCCTTGCCTGATTTTTTGGCACGATCCTTGCCCATTCTTTGTAACGGATGCGTCTTTTGTGCAGTCATTGTGGATAATGTTGAGGCGGTTGCGGCTCACTTGCCTGAATGTTAGATTGTTACGATTTATACGTAGCCTTATGATGGAAGCAAGTTGTCGTCCTCATCATTCCCACAAGGACCTTGTCGTTGGAGGTCCTTGACCAGCGTATCCATTGTTGCTTGATGGTGAACTGTGTGGTCCGAGTTCAGATGTTTGAGCTCAACCTTAATCAATTTTTGGGTACCCGCATATTCTAAATGTGAGAAATTATGAAATAGACTTAAATGAATGAGTTTCTTTGTGGGAGCAAATTTATACTATGCAGAAATCTATTTGAAAATTTTGTTCCAAAATAAAATTGAGCGGGAGCAAAAGCCCGAGTGGCTCCGCCCCTGCAAGTGAGCCCTTCCCCCGAAGTGGCTCAAATAATTTTAATATGATTGATTCCACTGGTTATCCCTTGCCTGACCACGATGAAGTCCGATCGACTTCTAGAGGAAGGTTCTGCAAAGAGCTCATATACACAACACAAGGCCCAGTCTCCACAAACTGATGGGGGTTTTTAGGATAGTAAGGATAACCATTACAGGGGGCGGGGTGGGATTTGTAAAAATATTTGGGGACTAAAGTGAAATTTTTTAAATCTTTGAATATGTTAAAAGTTGCCCCACTTAAATTTTAAAAACATTTAGAGAATAAGGTAAAATTTTTGAAATTTTAAAATCATTTAAAAATTGCCCCCATTGAAAAGATTTTAAACTCAAGGCTAGTTACGTATTTTCTCAAACAAGTGAAATTCTTCAAATCTTTAGCAACAACAAAAAAATACATTTACTTTTACTTTTCAGAGATCACGTGATTCCCCAACTGAAATTACACATAACTCCCTAGGCTGAAATTCGTCCACCTCCCTCCTCTCTATTTCTCTTCGTTCGACTTCCAAAGATCCAAGAGACTTCCATAGCTCTGCATATGTTGAGAAAGAATTTCCAAATATAATTAATGATCATACAATGCTTTCCAAAAATAAAAAATTGTTAAAATAATTGTGAAGATTTTCAAGAATTTAGATATTTTCATGTGTAGACTCAATTCATAATTGAGCACTATTTTTTTTAGTACAAAAGTATTTGTTTTATACAACTTTATAATGAGGTTTTTTTTTGTCAACTTTTTTTTATGACTTGTATATAAGTGTAATTTGATGAAACTATACTTGTATAAAAATAGTGTTAACACTCGAGTTTGACTATTCACATATTTGCCCCTAGAGGTAGCAAATGAGTAGGTTGAGTTGGTTTTGGGTCATTCAATATGGGCCGGGTGCAAAACAAATTCAATCCATTTTTAATTCGGTTAATAAATTGGTTATAATAGGTTGGGTTATAACGGGTTGAATTAAACTCATTAACATGTAAAATAATCAAAACTCTTAATATGAACACATACTAATAATAAAAATAAACATACTAATATACGAAAAAATACACTAACTTTATTGATGTTGTGATCGTATTACTGTTTTCAACTTAAATGCTTTCGTTCAATGTTTTATGCTATTATGTATGAAATGAACTGTTTTGATATTGTCCAATTACATAAAATTAAGTTATTTTTCAAATTCGTTTGCCTGAAAATATAGTTACTCTACTGAGTTATTAATGCTCACCCTGCAATTTTTTTTTTTTTTTCAAATTAACAAGTGACGAGAAAGTTTGTAATTGTACGAACTGTCAATTTTTCATCGAGTTGTTTGACTATTTGTAGTAAAGGGTCATAATTGGATAATATATTACATCTAAGACTTGTAAATTATAATAGGCTAGATGTCTATACTTAAAATATGTATAAAATTAGTATCAGAGTTTATTCATTATTTAGAGACTGTTGACATGTGTTATGAACTGTATCATTTAGTGATTGTGAAGGTTATTAGTGCTCTAAATAGGTATTAGTATATGGTATTGGATCGGGGTTTCAAATAGTTGGAAAAAATTTGGTGAGATTGATTCTAAACCTCTGCCACTCCACACACATCTACGACCCTTTTTGGTATGCCACCACAAAAATAAAAAATAACTATCTTTTAGGTCAATTCAAACAGTGCAATAGTCCATAAACAAGGGTATAAAATTCTTTGTAACTATTGCCTTAACCCTAAGCCATAAATCATGTGGTTTACATTGGTAGAATATATATGGCTAAAATTCGAGCTTAATGAACTCCTTATGATAGTATAGATGGGTAGACCTCTGAGGTTACTAGCTCGAGATCTCAAGTATAAGTCTCATAAGAGACACTCTAATTGACACGATACACATGATTTACGCTTGTGAATGAGCATATTCTGAAATTATGTTGTGCTTGGGAGTCGAAGCATAAGTAATAATTATTATAAAACTAAGCAAATTAATGTAAGTACAAATAACTAATTCAAGCAAACAAATTGAGAGATAGAAAAACGGTACTGATAGTGAGAGAAGGATGGAGATCTATGTTTCATTTGGTGTATTATTCATTCCGAAGTGAAAGGCCTATTTATAGGCAAAATACATAACTTTACTGCACTGTCGATAAGAGTGTAATTATACATAGACATAAATGTAGTGATGGTCATCCATCTACCGCCCATGTGTCAATCTCATTTACAACACTATTTGGCACTATGTGTTATTATTTGAACTCGTTTGGTAGACGTATTATGAGTGGATTAAATATTTGATTATACTATTATTTATTTAATCGGGTCTAATACTTTATTTTGTAAACAAATTTAATTTTGTATTTATTTCAACAACGTATACTAATTGTATATTTATGGTATATTTTTTGTACCATAAACATGTATTATAAATATATTTTAATATCATCATAAGAACTCAAATGTATTATTGTGCACATTTATTATTATAATCTCGCAACTGATAAAATCCAATAGTTATTAACGTAACACACACTTCAATAATCATTCGTGTTGCTAGTATTGCCTAACACTAAAATTTATTAAGGGTATTTTTAATAATTCAATATTAATATGATGAAACAATTCACTAACCAAACAACATATTGGACTAAATAACTTATATTGTGTATTTTCAAACATTAATAAAATAACAGATTATTCTAATACCCCATTTAAATTTGTTTTTTGTATATCTGTATTGTATTAGATTATATTTTTTTTATCCAATTCATCAATTTTTAATACGAGAACCAAACGAATCCTTTTTATACAATAGTCATTTGAATTATACACAGTATTTTTAACAATAATAAAAATATAAAGGAGAAGAAAGTACCAACCAGGATTTTCATACAGAAGAAAAGCATTATCTAACAGACAGCACCAGAGTTACCCATCCTAAAACAGTGACCAAAATACCAGGTTCTTAGAATTGGCTGTATCCAGATAACGATAACATTTAAGGATTGTTCAAATCAGAAAAGACACTTAAGTAAAGTGTTGTAGTCTCACTCAGCTTTGGGACTTGGAAAGTTGCCAACTCTTTTGATGCATGCCCTAACTGCTAGTCTAACCCACCACCTTGAGCATCTCTAGTTATCCACCAATAAGCAATTTGATAGAGTTTGTTGGTATCTACCAATAGGCAATCTAATAGAACCTGATTACGTATTTGTATGATAATACCTCCCGATTCTTTCGGGATTTTCACTCCTTCTGAATTTGATGATTTAATATGATATCGTATATCTGGTAACCCAATGTATTAAGTTCAAGCCTCTCTATCTGCGTATGATACACCCATTGTATTTGTGTAGGACAATGCACCCCGTTGTAGAGGATCACAAATGATCACGATATTCATGTCATTCTAACTTTTTGCTTCTTTTATCATCTACCTCGTCACGTGCGAGTAGACATTACATATACAAGAATTTGTTGGAACTTATTAACAATCGATATAATAACATCTTCCAAACTCGTGGGTAGCTCTCCAGCTCATTGCTGGTGTGGCACCTCAAGTCATCTACCTATGAGTAACCCTGTTGATGTTCAATAAAGATAAATAGTTGACCCTAAGATTAATCAGCCTTACATGTGTACTAGCTAATGCAGCTACTGTTCTATCACTTGACTCAAAACAACCATGATCTCCCAACACAAACAACTTCTATCACAACTCTATAAATACATTACACACTCTTTTGTTCATTACCAACAAACTAAGCAAAGGTAAAAAAAAAAAAACGACAACATGCAGGTAGAGAGAGTACAAGCTTTGTCCCATGGAGGCCTTCACGAGCTACCTGCACAATTCATCCGGCCAGCCCACGAGAGGCCGGAGAACAGCAAAGCAATCGAAGGAATGACAGTGCCCGTGATCTCATTATTGCTGCCACACGATGAGCTTGTGCATGAACTATCAAAGGCGTGCAGCGAGTGGGGAGTTTTCCTCATGACTGATTATGGAATCTCTGCATCTTTGATTCCGAGGCTGCAAACAGCTGGGCAGGAGTTCTTTAACCTGCCTCCGGAGGAGAGAAGAAAGCTATGCAAATGATCCTTCCACAGGGAATTTTGAAGGGTACGGGACAAAGATTACCAAAAATCTTGAGGAAAAGGTTGAATGGATAGACTACTTTTTTCATCTCATGTCACCTCCTTCTAAGGTTAACTATGAAATATGGCCCAAGAACCCTCCTTCCTACAGGTACATAGCCACATCTGTATGATTTATAAATGTTAATATAAGTCGTTAAGGCTAACTTTGAGAAGTTATCACATTGCATTATCATGATAGAAAGATACGAAAGAGGAGCAGGGTATTATTTATGCGGACTGCGCAAATCCAGAGAGTGAATATGAGACTATTAAGACATGAAAAATGTCAACTAGAACAATAAAAAAGCTTTTTTCCATCACAGGATATTACATATTAAGTTTCCAGCTTCTATGGTGTCTTTTAGTTCTACAATTTTACGAGCTAGAAATCGTGTCACAGGCAATGTTGTGCACATACACTCATTTAGAATAA